AGTAAATCTTAGAAAAGAGTGACCCTACTTAAGGTAACAGTATCAAATACTGGTGTGCACAAACTTTTCTTCCTCTTACTTTGTAAAGAAAAGCAATGCATCTAATAAAGTCAAGCTATAGGCACTAAACAAACAGCTATATAAAAACCTCTAATGACTTCTCCACATAACTTAGCCTGTTAGCCTATATGTTATTTATCTGTTTCTTTATATAGCAAGCTATGACTTTTACTCTTGGGTTTCTCTTATTTATCACTAGCTGCCACACTGCTTTAAAAATCTTACCTTTAAAGCAGTTATAACACAAAGCTTCTTTTCAACAATGTCTAAAAACACCCCTCAGTATCATAAAAACAGCTGTGTGCAAATTTAATCCCTAAAAGGTCAAATTTCTGGGTGACTCCGGGATGATTACTAAATGTTTATGTTGAAATGATTTGAAAATCTGAACTCTCTTTTGATTCCATTTATTTTCTAAAGACAATAGTCACATTAATCAAATCTCCAAAAATATTTTCAATGATTTTTTTTTTGAAAAAATATTCTCTCTCTTCTCTCACCATCAGGAAAAAAAAAAAAAAAGAGTAATAAGAACAGCCAGATGAAAGGTGGTAATAAAAAGGCTGCTAACCTCTTTAGTGCAGCACCTGCAGGGGGCAGGTCTCTTAAAGAAGTCATCACTCTGGAGTTATTTTTAAATACATTGCAGGCACTTTGCTTTGTAGTGTACCCATTGACCAGTTGTCACAATGATAGCTCCCCCAGCATCATTCAGAGCTCTGACCTCTCCCAGGAAAAGCTTACTAACAGCCCTCCTAAATTGTCGGAACCTCACAGATTTGAGGATTCGATGAAATAACAACCATAGCAGAATTACTTGGCATACAAGACTAGAACCCCCAATCAAAGACCTAATGTCTAACCAATAGTAACTTGAATGTGAGAGTACACATGTTTGCAATTGATCAGACCATATGTGCACAACTTTCTGATAATAAAAAACTTATTGAAGTAAATCCTTTCCATACACAGAGCTATTCATGAATATCATACTTAGCAGTCTCTCCCAGGAAATTAACAATAATTTTGTATTTATATCATTTTCTTCCCCATTAGGGACACAGATGGAAGAGGAGACCCGGTGTAAGAGTAAGTACAGTTGCCCAGGAGTTAGGCTATTTGGTTTGTTTCGGCACTATCTAGCCAACTTAGTGGATTGGGGGCAAAAGTGTAAGACAGAAAGAATTTGTAAGATTCCTCTTACCCCTGAAGTTATTTTGTCCTACTTATCCAAAAACTAGTCAAGCTTGAATTGTCTTTAGATTCCTAATCCAAACTCTGTTCAATTGAATTCATCTTAGATACCCACCCATAGTTTATGAATTTTTCCTACAATTGCCCCAGACCATATTCATAGATGTCAGGTATCATTTTTTTCCTACATACTCAGGAGGCCTCTCTCACTTTTCTTTCTAAGACAACTCTAACCATTCTTGTGCTCTGCTCCTAATGGATAAGGAAGGCAGGGGTGGAAAATCTCAAATGTCCTGTTTTATACCTGGATTCAAAAGCAGCATCTGTCGTGTCTGTGAAACCATCTGTTGCCCACTTTGCCATGGAAAGGATGGTGCAGGCTTCAGGAGTGTCACAGGCCACACAGTGGAATTACCCCCTTCTTGGGGCTGATGCACCCGAACATATGCTTCACAGTTATCAACGCTAGTGCCACCCCTCCCCCATCTAAAAGTTCATTTTCTTACAACTAAGAGTTTATTCTCTCAAACTGGGTCAGGCCCAGTTTTTGTTCATTTTTTTTTTCTAAATTCCCATTTACCCAAAGACAGAATTTTAAATTTTATAATTCTGGATTGTACCTAGAAATATGCCCCTAATTGCCAGTCACTAATCTCTGGACACCTCTTCTATCAAATGAAAAAGACTGAAGTTGGTGATCTCCGAGGCTCCATTGTGCTCTAACACTTCAAATTCCTGTGATTTAAACCCAATTTAGAATCATCAATAAGCTCAAGTTTTCCCATGTTTATGGTATACTGAGACCCTTAATGCCAAAGGCAAAGAATCTAGCAAAGAAAAGGCTTCTCTGACATGATCTCCTTGTGTTGAGCTCCTACACTTAAATTTAAATAAGTTTCTTGAGGATCTAAATTAAATTAAGAACCCTAATCTTGTTAACATCTGCCCCTGAGGCAACACTCTAGTACTGGGTTTGGAGCAGGATGATTCTTTGTGTGTTCTGAGCAGGAAGTTTAGCAGCATCCAAGGTCTCTATTTGTTAGATGTTAGTAGTACTCCTCTGCTCCCAGCTATGACAACTAAAAATTCATTGTTCCAGCACCTCTGGGGGACAAACCCTCTTCCCCAAGAAAAACCCCTGCTGTAACACATAGCATCTTTAAGAAAAATCACATCCTTTAGAAGTTTTTTTCCCCCCAAATGGATAACATTTACACAATTAACAAAGCACACCAAGACTTAACAGATTATAAACCACATGCATTTCACCTGTAAAACATACAAAGTCACTCTTTCCAAGTCCTCCATAGAACTGCCTCCTTCCTAAGAGTTGAAAATTTGCATACCCTAACCTGGATTACACTGTAAACTAACCATAACGTCAACTACTCTTTAAAAGCATTCAAAAGTAATCACATCTTCCACAGTAACTTCTCCAATGCATTCCAAAACTAACCCTGCTTACAGATTTCAAAATAAAAAAATAGTGAAAAGCCAGAGTTTGGTATAATCATTTTGGTTTTTTCTTTACTTACACACACACACACACACACACACACACACACACACACAAAAATAATACTTCTGGAGCAGTCAGCTTTGGCCAAAGTTCTTGAAAAGAGGATTTAGCAAGCTTTTAGCCCAATTTCCTAAGTATCTTTCCTTCCCCCACTTCACACAGGAATGGAAGAGACACCCCCTGCAGCCCATCTAGCCCCAAAAGAACAGCAGCTGCCAGCTGCATGAAACAGACTAAAGCCTGCAAATTGACTGAAATGATGACTACTCTAAGCCAAACATCTCATTTTTCCATCTGTGAGAATGGCTGGGACTTGCAAATCTTTGGGTCCCAGAAGGTGAAGGATACATTAGTTAACTGAGAGCAAAAGCTTGACTCCTCTGTGCTATTAAAGTTAACACCAGTTATTGATGTTTTGGAGATTTTGCAGCTTCTTATGTATATACAGTGTCTAAATTTCTACATTAAATGTATAAAGAAAAAGCCCTTTAAATCACTAAGTTGAGGATGTGAAAAGGGAGCCATGTATAGACACCACCATTACTTCTCAAAGAACCTCAGCTCTTTATTCAAACAAATATTTACACAATTGAGGGCAACGACACCAGGCATATGGCTATTCTTTTAAATAGTGGGTTACTCCAAAGGTTTATTTATCCTAAACCCAACTACTCTGTTGCTATCCTACCAGGATCCAAGAATTCAAGTAAGTGCTCCAAGGGCAAAAGTTTAACCCTCTGAAACTTCGAACCTCATGCAGATGTTTCCCAGCTGAATTCAGACAGAAGACAAATCTCAATCACCCAGGTTAAACCAAACTAGAAAGCTTAAAGTTACAAGTACAATACTTGAAAATCTCCATCTGGAATCTATACATCCATATAATGAAGGAAATGTGGCTCTCAAATATTTACACTAACAAGCCTCCACATTTTAATGCCTCTTCTCATCCCCTCCCAACTGCACCTGGCTGTGACTAGCATAGCATCCTACAACTCCGAAGAACAACAGAAGGAAGACTTTAGGAAAGAGGACCAGGCTAGCCCAGAGGATTTCCAGTCTCCCGCAAGATTATCCACATAAAAAGCTACAGTGTCAGTCCTTTTTACATATGAAAGGTAAATGAGGAATCTCTGGAAGTAGGTTCCCAGTCCAAAGCTCTTTCAAACAGGAAACCCCAACCCTGGGAGGGACAGCCTGTCAGCCTTTTAATTTCCTGGCGGTGGCGGGAGTTAGCCAGGTCCTCAGCGCTTTTAATAAGTCATGATTGCTAGTGCGAAGTTATTAAATGCACCAACAAACATTTCATTATTGCCCGCCGAACAGGGTGCTGGAGAAACAGAGGACTGAAAAGCACCTTAAGGTTTCCAGTCTCGCTATCTCTAAGGGGAGCAGAGCCCGCTGCATCATAAAACTTTTCGGGGATCTAAAGTCGAATTAGTATCAGAGGCTCTCGGTTGGAAAGACTCAAGACTGAGGCTCAAGCATAACTAGCCAGACCTTTGGAGACGGGAGGGGGATCTTTTCTGGATCCCACTGCCCACACATCCAGCTGCGGACCTCAAAGGATCTAACCAGAAGAACCATCCCTCTCTTCTTCAACATTCCAGAATTGTCCGCAAAAGTTGCCCCCGGCACCCCTGAATCCCGCCTGTTCCCTACAATAACTCTGGAATCATCGCCTTCACCTCTTCTCCACGACTCCCTCAACTGGAGGTCCACCCAGTTCCCCAGAGTCATACACAATGGGGTTCCGAGTACCCTAAAGTTGCACAGCTCTGGCTCTGGCGACCCTGGCCCGGGCTTTTGTCCCCGTTGACTGCAAGAGAAGCAAAGAAAGTCTGCGCCCTGGGCGCCTACTCACCGTCTCATCTTTCTTCTGAGCTACGGCTCTCTGTGGGCCCCGCCACTCTGTGGCCTGGCCCTTGCCCCCGCCCTCCCTTTCTCCCTCCCTCGGGCCCTAGTCTCGGTCCCGGCCCCGGCCCTGGCCGGGACGCAACTCCAGTCACCACCGTGCGCAAGCCAGCCACTCCGGACTCGCGCTGCGCAGTCAGCGCGCCCCTCCTCGGTCCAGGCGGCCACTGCCTCCTCTCCGCCCCCAACCCTCCGCTGCGCAAACGGCAGCGACCAACTCTACGGCGGGGGAGGCATTGTCCCCAAAGAGCCGCTCGGGAGAACAGAACCAGCACAGCTCCTTGATCGCGGCGGACTACAGCCCTCTCCTCACCTGGCGCAGAGGTGCAGCCAGGTCCTCTCGACTGGAGACAGGAAGGCAGAGTTGGTGCCCCACGCCACGCCTCGGTGCCCCCCCTTGGGCCGCGTTGGTGGGCTCCGCGCCTCTGGGTCCCGCGCCCCGGGCCCCCTTTCGTAAGCACAGCGGCAGGCACCGAGGAACCCAGCAGTGTAGTAGAGTACCCTCGCTGCTCCAGGGTAGTTTGCTGTCGGGGATTTTTACTGCTGCCCCATCATTGGTCGCCACCCTTCAAAGCCGAATTCACCGCAAGGTCGTACAGACTTTTGGAGGCAGACTTTCTTTATGAGCTGGAAGAAGGGCGGGAGAGTACACGTCCCGGAGTGATGATTTCCTCACCCGGTGATGAAGTTTCTGCTGGGGAAACTCCAGGTGACCACACCTCCTCTAGACATTTGGCCCCCGGGTAGGTTTACCTGATGCGTCAGAAAAGCAGCTGTGCAATGACTGGCGAACGACCTCAGGCAAGGGCTGAAGTCTGGAGAGTTTAAAATTCACTCATACTGATTGCCTTGCAGTCGTTTCTCTTAAAGTTTCTATATTTTCTGACATTTTTCTGAGCTGCAGTAACCAATGAAAACAATGCTGATGTGAACGTCCTCCAGCAGTGCGTCCTCCGAAGGCAATAAAACGGACCCAGAGCTGCCCACGGTCCACCTCCGCAGGCGAGAATGCAACTCGCTGCCAAATTCTGGGCCAGTCTCTGGGATTACAGGGATGAAAGACAACAGCCTTAGAGGAACTTAGAACCGCAAGAAAACACAACAAACTATTCAACTAACTATTCAACTTGGGACAGTGTGGCATTTAGGTCATTTAGCTCCCAGAAACAATTTCTTAATTTCTAGCATGGTAATAATGGTACTAATGCTGCAGGCCAGTTAATAAGCTTCTGTATATTATATGCAAAGTACCTGTCACAGTGAGTAGACTTAGTAGTCACTTAACAAATAGCTTATTTCATATGCTTGTCATCTAAGCAAGTAAAAGCCCAGCTTATAATCTCATGAAGTACCTCACCTACAAGCATGCTTTAATATATTTTTTCATTTGTAGAAGGACACAATGCCTTTATTATATTTATTTTTATGTGGTGCTGAGGATCGAACCCAGTGCCTCGCTAGGCAAGCGCTCTACCACTGAGCCACAACCCCAGCCCCAAAAATGCTTGATATTTTATAGGACATTTTTTTTTAACTTTTCTGAGTTTTTGCCCTACAGAAATATACAAGGATCAATTCAGTGGTTAAAGAATCCAGTAATTCTCTTACACATATAAATTTTCCCCTTTCATTGGATCATCCTCATCAACTTAAATGTGTTATTTTTTCTCATCTTAAAAAAAACAAACTCTGTTGTGTCCACTTCCCCCTCCAGCCAGCCATTTGCCTCCCCCCCCATACTTCCCCTATCACTTTTTTTCCTGTTCAATTACAGCAAAACTCCATTAACAAATTGTTAAGAAAAGCTGTCTTCAACTTCTGTCTTCCAATTTACATCAGTTGGGCTTTGTTTCTACTAAGTCCCTACAATTGTTCTTGTTGAAATCAAATTATAAAAGATACAACAATAAAAGATTGTTTCTTGGTCTTCATCTTACTCAAGCAATTAGCAGTTGATCACTTTCTCCTTCTGGAATCACTTTTACTTGACTTCTGTTATACATTTCCATGGTTTTCTTCCTATCCACTGGATAGGAAGGAGGGTGCCCTACTACACTGCTTCTTATAAGTTTCATTTGTTTCATTGGAGTGTTCTGAGTTCAAACTTGGGCCCTCATGTCTATTCTTGCTCCCTTGGGGATCTTATCTCATAGCATTAAATACTATCTGTATGTTGATTACTCCCAAATTTTACCTCTAGCCTGAATTCCAGGCTCCTGGCAACTGCCCACTTGGATGCCTATTAAACTTCTCACACTTAAAATTTCCACTGAAATTCCTCCCTCAGTCCTTTAGTCACAGAAATCATCCCCACATCAGTTTTTAAATTTTGTCCTTGACTTCTCTTCTTGCCAATCCATCACCAGAGCTGGGCAAAGGACCTAACTCAGCCAAGTCATTTGAGTGCATTACTTATCCTCATTGAGAAACAAATTGCTATTCTCCAAACTCCTTTATGGATAAATGTGATAATGTCAGTACCATTCTTTGCCCAGGAATAGATAGCACTAACAGTGCCATCAAAAGAATGGTCTCCAACCACAGTCATTCTTCTGTGGAACTGTTTCTTATTGATGACATTGACCATGACATTGTACTTTGTCCTACATAAGTTGAGTTCCACATTGTGCACTCCTTTTATAATTTAGTAGTGGGGTAAATTTTTTCTCCGTTAAAAAGATATTCTTTCAAGTTGGGGTTGTAGGTTAGTGGTAGAGCTCTTGCCTGGCATGTGTGAGGCACTGGGTTTGATCCTCAGCACCATAAAAATAAATAAATAAAATAAAGGTATTGTGTCCATCTACAACTAAAAAAAATTTTTTTAAAAATATCTTCATCCATTTTCACATTGGATTTGCAGCCATTGTTAAGGAGAAATCTGTAAACCAATGCTTCCCTTTGTATCTTAATGTTCAGGAGGCTCAGTTAAACTTGCTATTCAATTATTGTGTAATGGTAATAAAGATGTTGCTTTCTCCTTTTAAACATCTTAGATGTATTTTTATTCCCAAAACTTATTAGATATTTGGATTTTACTCTGTGTTCTCAAATATATACTAAAATAGATGAAGTATAAGTAACATATTAGCTATTCAAATGAATATGAGAAAATTAACCAAAATACAATGGAAATCACTTTAACCTCCCAGGGAGACAAAAAGGCAAATACCTCAACTTTGTCTCCTTAACAGGTTTAATGATTATCCCCACATGCTGCTTTATGTTTAAACTATTACAAGACTGGCTCTCTAATTATACAGCTGATTAATTTCTGCATCAAAACATTCTTTGTGCCTTGTCTTCAATCTTTTCTGTGAATTTATTTTGCAGTCAGGCAGGGAAAGGATGCTAAGTGTGATGTGTGAGTATGTTAAGTGTGTGTATGCATTTGTGCCTGTGTGTCCTTCGGATTAACCTACCCCCACTGTCTTTATCTGGCTCACTTTTCTAATTACTTGAGGACCTTGAATTGGTCTTCTTTACCTGCATAAAGAGCTTAAAACAAGGAGTTTTCTTTGTAAGTTATCTGCTTAAATAGAGGGGAAAAAGTCCCGTCTGCAGCAGTGCTCCTAAAAAATGCAGGGATCTCAGCTTCTCTTCTGTTAGTCTTTATTTTTCTTTTTATCTGACTTTTACCATCCTTCCACTTATTTCATACCTTGATTTCAAAAAAGATGTTTTAATGTATGTGCTTGTGCACACATGTGCATGAGCATGTGTTTTGAGCCACCTGGGGTAGGAATAGAGGTGAAAATTTGATGTGTCAGGTGTATGTGGACCTCATTGCCTGAGAGGCTTCTGACAACTCAGAGCAGGATTAGAATTTAGAACATAAGGAAAGTTAAAACAAAGGCCAATTTACTAAGCACCTATTCATTTCTGTACAATGTGTGAGATGCAGGGAAAATGGCGATAAAAGAAAGCATTTTAATGATGTGCCTGTCTTTGAGGAATTTACTGACAAATATGTAACTGGAACGTGATAATACAACATAACGTGTACTATAAAGAAAAAATACAAATGACTTCAGATAAAAGGGTATGTGTGCCTCTGTGAGTCCACCAAGGAAGACAATATATATATATATCTGTCATTTTGAAAGAAAAGGGCTTTCTAGGTGGAGGAAATGACGCGACCAATGCTGGAGGACAGAAAAGCCAAGGAAGACTGGGAAATGTGAGTAATACAGCCTGCCCAAGCAGACAGAAAGGAGGTGCAGGAGATAAGACCTAACTAGCTGAGGCCAGACTTGGGGGGACCAGAGAGACAGGGGTTTGAATGTTCGATTCCATGTCTAATACCATTTTAATTATGTCATTTCCTTGCTCTAAACTTGCACTGGCCCTTCCTTGCCTGACAAACACCGGAAGAACCAGTGGCTGTGCAGGAAGCAAAACCTGATTCTATAAGAGTGGGAAGAAAGGGAAAGATGAGTAGGAAGGATAGTAGAATGAATTGGACATTATTACCCTAGGTACGTACATGATTATATGACCTGTGTGATTCCACATCATGTACAACCAGAAGAATGAGAAGTTATACTCTATTTATGTATGATGTGTCAAAATGCATTCTACTTTCATTTATAACTAATTAGAACAAATTAGAAAAAAATAAAAAAGAGAAAGGGAAAGATGAGCTTTTGCCATAAAATTTAGAGACTCCAATAAAGTCATACTGATGGTGTTTCCTATGGTAGACAAGGAATCTCTCCAACAACTGTGTTCATGAAAGCCCTAGGTAAGACACTGAATCTCCTCCCACTCCTGGCTGCTATTCTTTCATTCATTTTATGGTGACTCCAAAGTTAAAGATCCTGCAATTCTCACAGAAATAAATAAAGAACAGGTAACTTTAAATGGTTGGATCAAGTGTTGGAGTGGAAATTTAGTGACAATACAATTAAATGATTGTCCGCAGAGTTTCAGACCTACTTGTGTGAGCTTTTTATTTCATTCATTTATTTATTTATTTTGGTTACTGGGGATTGAATCCAGGGTCACTTAACCAATGAGCTACATTCTCAGCCCTTTTAATTTTTTATTTTGAACAAGGTCTTGCTAAGTTGTTTAGAGCCTTGCTAAATTACTGAACTGGCCTTCATCTTTCTGTTTCAGCCGCCAGAGTCTAGGATTATAATAAACATGTGTTGCTACGTTCAGCGTGTGACCTGTTTTCTTTTCTTTTTTTTTTTTTTAACTCTTCCACATTATGGGGATAATTTCATTGGTTCTATCAGGGATTTATAAATACAACTAATAAAAACATCGTTTATGCTGGGCATGGTGACACACATCTATAATCCCAGCAATCTGGGAGACTGAGGCAGGAGGATCACAAGTTTGAGGCCAGTCTTAGCAAATTAGTGAGGCATAAGCAACTCGATGAGAGCCATTGTCTCAAAATAAAATATAAAAAGATCGGGGAATGTAGCTCAGTGATGAAGAGCCCTGGGTCTAGTCCCTAATATCACTAAATAAATAATTGGGAAGATAGCTCATTGGTAAAGCATCCCTGAGTTCGATCCCCAGTGTCAAAAAAATAAACTCCAAACAAAAAAAATAAAAAGAAAGTAGAGATTTATTGTTAGTCCCTAATGAGTTCAAAATGGATGATGGAAGAATTTATTTCTGATACAGGTAGTGATGTTTATCACTAGTACAATGCTTGTAGACTCATTTGAATTTCTGGCTATCTTCATGAACCAAGAATTTCTGTGAGTTATAA